TAAGTTCAAATAAGTCATTCAAAATGTTGAAACAGAGCGAGATTTTGATACACAAATACTCAGAAAAGTCTATATAACAATAAATAGCTGAATTCTTAACTCAGGATAACATTTAATTTAAGCAGTGTAAACCATGCAATTGAGTTTTTACATACATCTTTATCAATGTAAGTCAGTACAAGGTTGAGCATCCTATGCTGGTGAGTTCGATTAGTTAGTGCTTGCCAGTTCATGTCTCCACTGAGTTTGCACGCCACCCATTAATCCTGTGGTAATCCAGTTTCACGGATGGGGCGGATTATCTGCAGCCATGCCGTCCCTCTCACTGGTCAAGGTAATCCAACATTACTCTGTAATGTCATGGCAATTGAATTACATTAAAAACAGAAGAGGAGGGACTATTTGGCACAGATGTTTGCAACCATCTCTCAGATATCGAGATTATGTAACATCCTAATTTTGTTGTTTTCCCCTCAGGACTACGAAGACTTCTTCCAGTCAAAGGAGGACAACACTGTGTTTGCATTCCTTGGGCTCAGTGCCCAGCCCTCAGTGAAAGTAAGGGAGATTATAGGCATTTGAAAACACTCAAACACTCTGCTGTCTCTGTGGTATCAATCATACAGCCAAGAAAGTTAGCTGTCAATCCAGATTACCTCAAACCCTCTCCAGTGCTGGACGAGCAGCTATAGTTTCAGCAAGCTATCTCTGAAACGTAGGATTTCCATTTTATTTGCATTTCATTCAAATCAGCTTTGTTTGCAGGAAAAAGATAAACAAAACTCAAATCCCATACATCCAGATTCAGCTACCTAGTCTCCTCCCCTCAATCTGTTAGACATATTTATCCCAAAGATCCTCTTAGAATTTAGACAATCATAGTTCCCACCGAGTTAATCTCAGTGCTTAGATGACCAGTAAACACATAACATACACAGTATCTCTCATTCCTACTGCTTCGGGCAATGTTGATGCTTTTGAAAGAATACAAAGGTCCAGGCACAATTCAATGATCCACTTACCAAACATCAAAGGACCATATTTCCATCAGAGCTTTTATTTGATTTCCCTCCAGTTGCGTCCATTTTCTGTCTCTCTCCTTATGGATAATTATGTTAGGCGAGATCTGATAATATATAACCAGCAGGATATTGCAGATACATTCAATATGGACACGTGTAGCAGAGATGTCTGGCTTTTGAATATTTTGTTTAGTACACTGGTTTTTTATCTATGGGTGTATCTGATCCCCACTAGGGGTCGCCAAAGCCTATCAGTCGTTCTGTACTGATATTGTTATGCATTGAACCTAATATAAAATATGTGGCTTAGTTAAAGATGTTCACTGTGCTTAATCATAGAAAAGGGGTCCCTTTAGGAAAACATTTGGAACCATTGCTCTAACAAATCCAAGGAGAAGGTAGATACTAATTGTTAAATCTCCATATCATTTTGCCCCCCAATCTCTAGGATTCTGAGTCATAGCTGGGATCATACTGCTGGTATGTGACGACAAGGGACCCTAAACTACGAAGACCAAAACTGCATTGCTTCCTGTGTTGCATCACCTCTTCTCCCACGTTCTTCCTGCTTCAAAGCCAGCACCTTGCCAAACATCAGACTCCACGGATCTCACCCTGAACAACCTCTCCTGACTCTTCAAACGCTCATTCCACCATCACTTAAGTCTCCAACAAGTATCTGATGATCAACAGATACTAAATCACAGAAGAAAGGGGATTAACTTTATTATGTTTACTTTTTTCATGTCTAACACACTGTCACAACAATCTATCAGTAGCATCCATTCTGAGCAAACTAGATGTAGCAGCTTTTGCTTCAGGAGAACAGTTGCCTAAGTTTGATGTTTTAATGCTGTAGATGACGAATAAAATGAGGCGCAGCTTAAGTCACCTGAACACACCACCCTCCCTTGTGTGTGTATGCCTTAGTGTGTGTGTGTTTATGTGTCTGTGTTCTTCAATCAGCAGCTGTTAATAATATTGAGGGAGGATGAGAGTTAGCACTTAATTCAACCTTAAACAAATTGAGGTCTAGCTATCATGTCTGGCTGCGTGTGTGTGTTCATGTGTGGGAGTGAGGAAGAGCTCCCAGAGGTGACAGTGACACTTCAGTTCAACACAAAGCAGATCAGACCAAATACTATCAATCCTAAACATAATAGGGATAGGCAAGACCTTAAAACATTGCTAGCATTCAAGTGTGTAGTCACCGTCATCAAATAAAACAAACCTTGTTTATTCAACTGCCAAATAGGTTACTCAAATGACCGGGAGGAAGGTCTTGGTTAGGTTACAAATATACTTTTTTTATTTTCTAAGTATTTTCCTAAAGAAGCTAGGCACAATACAGCAAACGTTAGTAAAACAGAAGTAAATATCATTTGTAGGGACTACTTTAAGCTATGAGTTAATACACTTTTGGATCTTTTTGATTGTTTACAGAAGCAGGACAATGTTAGGGGATTAACCCTAAATAAACTACAGTGCTTAAGGTTCATGGGATGTGTTTATGACATGGAAAATATTGCCAGCTCTATCCTCTAATCCAGACTGCTATAGACAAATCAAAGCTACAATCAGGGTCACATGAGCCATAGGAGTGCACTTGCCAGATTATTACTCTAAGATTAATCAGACACAAGACAGGATGTAAGAACATATAGTTTATTGCTTAGAGATAAATGTAAAGCTCTGACAGATCATCTGAAATGTAAGCAGACTGCCTTCAGTGTGTTTTACGTTGCATGTTATGAAATGAACAGGTTGACGCATCATAGCAGTACTGTCCAATCTGTTGTTATATTCTTCGTCAGGAACACAAAGCATGTTGTAGTTATGTTTCTCATTCTAATTTAATTATCACGGGTGAGAGGTTGACTAATCCCTTTATGTTTACACATGTCAACACAAACAGATTCACCCTAGCCATTCTTCCCTAAATGTTGTGCCATTATGTGAATGGATGTCATTTTTACTTATTTCAAGTCATGTTGGGGACATCGATGTTTTTTTGACACTGTTAAGACGACATTCCTGTTTTAGTGAGCTCATGTACTGTGAAATCATGTGATGACTTTGTTGTGTGACAGATACTAACGAGCCTGTTGGGCCAACTAAATATACTTTGTGCTACACCTCTCTGTCGTGCTTGATTATTGCATTTTTCGGTTGATAACAGACTCGTGGGATCCATTTGCATTCAAAATTCGTGTTTTTTGTTGTTTTCATATTAGAAATCAGCCTAAAAACTCTGAAATGTAAATATTGTCATAAGAAACGTTCTGAATCACATCCGTGTTTTGTTACGAAGAAATTTCAATTTGCAAACTGAAAACAGAATTTGGTAAACACATTTATTTTTGTATTTCTTTATACTATAGTTACATACCTGCAGAAATACAAAAAAACTAAGGGCAACAAAACTGTAAAAACCTATTGGATCCACATTTGTGCTGTGATTGCAACTGGATAAGAAAAAAATGACTAACACAATCCATAGGAAACGCATGAGTAACAAATGACTCAGCTAAATTTGAACACAGAGTTTTTTTTAAATGTCTTTAATTAAAGGCAGGGTTTGATTTACGTGTAAGCAGTCCAACAAAAGGAAAAGGCATTCAAAAACACTAGGCAATATCTGAGTCAAGGTAACTGGAGATTGGTCCAAACGGGGAGCACACATAATAAATGCACAAGGAAAGAAGCATCAAAACAAGGGACAGGTGAGAACAGTGCTAATGAGGAATAGGTGAAAACAATCAGGGTGAGGCAGACATCAAACAGCCAGAAAACACACAAGGGCCGGAACGGTGAATATCTAAAAACATAGCCTCAGAGTAATGCTATTACATGACTCATGTCTATAAAAGAAACTGAAGTTCAGGGGTAACTAACTTGATGCACTTCTAAAATATTGCTTGCTTTTCAAGGCCCTACTCCCCCAGAGTAATGTCATTTCCCATCAAAGGATGATGCAAATCGCTGTGTAATGATTTACCCAGACATCAATATGTGCTTAACCTGAAGTCCAAACTATTAAGATCCTCACTTCTGTCATTTGGGAATACTGTTAGAAAGCTGAGGTAATCGCTTCACTACTTTTAGAGCCTCTTATTGTGCTAATCTTGAATACTGGTTCACAGTCTTTAAACTTGTGTTGCGGCTGGTTGCAGTACAGTCAAACAGTTCCCTTATAAGACTTTTTTTGGATGGTAATGTGAATGGTGCCCAACTCTTATGTATTACGGTTTTAAACAAATGAATTGCACATAGACATTTGTCAGTTCATATACAGGACAGGTTACAAAGTACAGACATGAATAATATATTGAAATTGCATGTGAAAGAATCATCATTAATCCTTAGGTACTGACACAGAAAAGTCCATCAGCACTGTCATGTTCATTTAGTCCTTTTTCATGATAAGAAAATCAATGGTGTGAATGATACAATTATCGATTGCTTGATTCAATTTAGCTGCTTTATTTTCAGTGGCCAACATTGACTTTAACAATAAAGCGTGTATGTGAGCATGCATGTGACAATTCTCTCAGGATAAAAAGGAACTTATTCTCTTTATGAAATTGCAATGAGATGAAGAAAATAAAACAGGCCAATCAAAAATGGCCTGTTTATTTAAGCTTGTTTATACTACATTGAAATCGATTGGCTGTTCTTTTAACAAATTCAACATAAAAGGACTGCTGGGAATGATAAGGCGATGAGATTCTAGGGACAGGTGGGAGTCGGTGTTCACATGTTGTCATTCGTTAAACAACAACTGTCTTTTTAATCAACATTTCCCTTTTATTTTTCTGTAGCTCAACCTTCGTTGTGTCGCTACATCAGAGTCACTATCTTACTAATACTATCTACTACTGTTTACCAGCATTAGTTTTCATATATGCTGTTGAATATAATGTATTTTTAGAAAGTAATGTAGGTGTTGTGTAAAACAAAATGAAATCTCCGCTCATCCCCTGTCTTTAATGATTGATCCAAATGTCAACATGCTTCCAGTTTGCAGTCCAAGTCCATGTAACCCCTTTTATTCATAACAATTACTGGATCTGTACACGAGGCTGCTGTCTTTTGGATGTTTCAGATATGATCAGCGTTTTATTTTGAATTGTGAGGTCATTTAAGCAGCTGCTGGATTTAAAAGGTTAGATGGCAACATCATTTAATTTGAAGATTTTGGTTAAAAAACAACAAGAACTGGATGGCTTCCAAAAATCAACTTTCTTGTTCTACTGAAGACTGATAATACAGTAAAGTAACTTTTTAACAATACCCATTTTGACTGTATTTTTGCAGCTTTTGATCTACTTTGAAGACACAATGATCTTCATTTCAGCTGAAAAACGACATTTCGCTTTTTACTTGTCAGTTGGTAAGTTTTTAATTTTTCCATTCTTTTCTTGAATTCTTAAATCATGTGATAGTCAAACAACTTGGTCTCATGCTCTCAAACCCTTAAGAAAGACAGCTCTTATTATTGATTGTTCACATTGTCTTGCTTTAAAACAATTTGACAAAGTTGAGGTTGGACAATAAGGAGTTATGTATTTCTGCACATCGCCAAGCTTTCCTGATACGTAATAAATATGATGAATTAAAGCAAACACTGCTATTGTAAAATATTGTTTTAAATATTAATGACAAACCTCATGTGTCTGCTCTAGGTCTGTTGAGTATACCACTGCTTGCAGGTCAGTACATTCTATTGATCTCATGCCTCAAATTGAATTATAGTCTGATCTAACAACAAAGGACCATTTGTCACTGAGATCAGGCTGACATGTCCTTGAGCTATTGTGTGTTCATTTTTCATTTATAGAATGCATTGAGGTTAAGCTGGTCGGGCCTTCACGTTGCTCTGGTAGACTGGAGGTCTTGCACACAGGCAGTTGGGGAACTGTGTGTGATGACCTATGGAGCCTCGCCAACGCTGACGTGGTATGTCGAGAGTTAAACTGCGGGACAGCTCTTGAGGCCACTAAAGTCGCCTCTTTTGGAGAGGGAAAGAACATGATCTGGTTGGATGATGTGCAGTGTACTGGTCATGAGACATCTGTCCTCAAGTGCACACACAGACCAATGGGGCAAAATGACTGCAGCCACTCTGAAGATGCTGGGGTTACCTGTTCAGGTAAGACTTCAAGAGTTCAATTAATGGTATGTTTGGTCTATGTTTTTCAAAGTTGAAATTACCAGTACTCAATGACTTTCTTAATAAAAGGATAATCCCTTTTATTAAATCTATAGTTGGACATACAAGGCAAAGGTAAAGCTCAGCCCCTAAACTAAGTTTAGCATAAATACTGGAGATTATGAAAGGGCATATTGTCATTTCTTTCACAAACAAACACGTGTTAAAGATGGAGCTTTGAACGTGCTGGATTTTGTTAACCTCAGACAAAGCCAGGGTCTATCTCTGTTCTTAGTGTTTCTGCTGTGCTTAGATAAGTTGCTGCTTGCTGTAGACTTTTTGTTTATCAAGTGAATGGAAGAGTAGAATCAATCTTTTTATCGAACTCCCGCAAAGTAATCACGTTTCCCAAAATGCTGAACTTTTGCTTTGAATAGACTAAGTTAGCTCAGAAGATCAGGTATTTCGAAACTCTGCATTTCTAGGATTTCTCAATTTAAATCAAGAACATGTGAAACTTGGGAAATACGGCTGTTCAGAAAAAAAAAGCTAACGCAGCATTTATCTTGGCAACTGATCACAATATTGCTTTGAAAACGCAGCAGTTATATTGTCAGGTCACATTTGCTCTCTGCTTTTAGAGGATTTTTGCAGCAGAAGCGTTAAAACTAAGATAAAGCAAGCTTAACCACACTAAGCTAAAAATAAGCTGAGCTAACTATGCTAAACTACAGAATTTCAGATTTCATCACTGGGAAAGTATATTCTTGGACTTGAGCAGTTACTTCCTTAGGTTTCTGGTGGTTGCCTGGAAACTGTTCCAACTGTTTACAATTGTTGGTGAAGCTTAGCTAACTTTCTCTTTTTTGCAGATGTATACTAAAAAATACAGGTGAAAGTTGTTTCAATGTTGTCATATGATTTTGCCAGTAACAAAAATGTATTTCCCAAAATGTGCGATTGTTCTTTAATACACAAATGGTTATAGATTTTTTTTTAACGGCGCACATCATTTGCAGAACATGTGAAGGTAGTCAACGGAAGCAATCGGTGTACTGGCAGAGTGGAAGTCTACCATGAAGGCAACTGGAAACGAGCATGCAAAAGTGACTGGGCGACGTTAGACGCTGTTGTGGTGTGCCGAGAGCTTAACTGTGGCACCCCTATCACTCAGACTGAAGAGCTATATTTTGGAGAGTCACGTGACCTGCATGGCATCAAACCCAACTGTTTAGGAAATGAGAGCTCTATCTCACTGTGCAGAATTCAGGAAAGCAAGGAAAGCTGTGTGGATGCTACTATCGTCTGTGAACGTTAGTAATTCCTGTGTTCAAGCTACATCAATAATTGTGTGTTAAACTTCACCTGTATAAATCTTAAATTTTGGATGGCTTATGAATATACATACCCTTGATTTTTTTATTTTCCACCTGACAGACAGTACACCAACGGGAATAAACGGGAATTTATGGGAATAAACTGGGAATTTTCTAAATTGAAGGTTGGCTCTTCATAGGGAACCTAAACATAGTTGGGGAAAGTATATTTTAGCATAATCTTGACTAAAACAAACAGATGCCATTTAAGTACACACTTGAATATCCATGCCATTCCTCAATCACATCTAGGCTACATAGCACACGGCTTACTGCATGGCTATTGAGACCACACCCCCTACAGGCACTGCATTCCTCCATCACATGCACAGATGATTTCTAGAAGACTGGATCACACTTTTGAGCCCAAAGCACAAGACAAATAAAGCCACACATTTGAGCCTGTGGACTACACAAAGTGAAGTAAGTTTAGATGATATTATGGGGTAATATCATCAATTTTTTAATTGCAAATATCACATACAAATGTATTCATCTAGTACAGTGTTTCTCAAACTTTTTCATGGACCACTTAACCAATTAAAAAAACACTCACGGACCACCTAACTCCCCAAATATCCCAAAACACATCGTTTTTCTAGAACAGATGTGGAGGCTATTTTTATATAACATTAGAAAGACTGATTCTTATTATTACATTATTTGCTTATTGTGCTCATTTACAGTATGTGGCTGTGATTTAGGAATAAATGGACCCAATCACCCCCCCCCAAGTTTTGATGGGGTGGACAGGAACGGAGGGAAAAGTTACATGAGAAAGTGTTTAGCTTGCAATATTGAAAGTAGCAAGGTCGAGTGCAGAGACTAATGTCGCGTTTCCACTACACGGCCTCGCTCGGTATGGCTGGGCCTCGTTAGGACTGGCTCACTTTATGGCGCATTTCCATTACAGTTTAGGAACTGGGGCAGTATCTATAGTAACGTAGTGTAGGCGGAGCCGTGACGTGATCTTCAGAGGACCCCAGAAAAACAACACAGCCGTTAGCTGTTAGCACTCAGAGCTCACAGCTCCTCATATATGTTCAGAAACTAGACAACAATTAAACAAGTACAAACCACAGACTGCCTATGTCATGGTGAATACAGTCGCTGCTTTATTTATGTCTGTATAGGCCGTTGTTGTGAGTGTGGATGGTCGGGGCATATACTGCGTTAGCTTAGCCAATCTCCATTTAGAAAACAAGCATTTTAAAAGGTTTTTCCCCTGCTGTCTGTCTGCAGACTTGACAAAGCATTAATTCATGGTTTTTACTAACCGGTATCAGTATGTTGTTACTTCGGCATCATTTTGAAACGTGTATTACAATTAAATCACGGTCAAATATGTCCATCTTGTTGTAGTTGTTGCCCCCTTGCCAGCGACGCTCTCTCTAGTTTAGCATACTCAGCCCGACTCAGCCTCGTTGCCTCTGGCCCTGGCCCCACGATTTTATGAGGCCAGCAAAACTGTGAATTAGGACCCGCCGGCCGGTACTAGGCCAAGTGGAAACGCAACCAAAGACGGGCCGCTGACGTCACAGCCCTCTTAAACCGGGCTGCGGGCTGTAGTGGAAACGCGCCATAAGAGAACACAAAGAGGTAGTCAGAACAGCACATCGCACCGGCCTTGACTCTGTATGGGAGCCGCGCTCCCCCGCAAAGCTAAGAAGCAACATTATGGTTTCCCGCTATATCTGAAGAAACGTTAGAGAAAACAAATTAGTATGATGGTGCCAGAGTAGGGAGGGACTTCCACAGGCCGGCCGAATGCTGATTGGAGGATCGTGTTGCCAAGAGACCCTATCTGAGTCTGTGCACCAACCAAAGAGAACCAAGTCTAAACCGCGGTATCTCTTCAGCTAGTCTTGACCAATCAAAAATGTACGGGCAACGCCCTGTGTAATAAAATGTATTGTCGCACGAGGTTCGAGGCTCTTGACGGATTTGGTGGTTACAGATTACAGCTTTGCTGCCTGTGATTCCCAAAGACGTGATGAGTCCTTGGCAGGCGCGCCGGATTCATTTTAGAAGTGGGGGGGCCAAAAAAGTGCGTGTGTATGGCCCAATCCCAAACCACGCCCTACACCCTACCCCTACACACTCCCCCTCCGTGACGGAGTGAACTCCGTGGAGTGACACATGAGGCTCCCTCCTGTCAGATGGAGGGAGTAAATACAGCGGCAAGCTTTTGGACAAACTCCCCTCTCTCCGGCAGAAACAGGAAATGCCGTAACTGTATCAACGGTATCAAATCAGCATCTCTTTGACAACAAATGTAAATTAATAACTAAAATAAAACTCCAAACATCTCTAATTGTGTTACTTTTTTGTAAAGCTCTTTTAGTTTTAAACCTGATGTTTATAAGTTTCTTAGTTTTTGCAACAGTCTGTAAATATACACAACTTTATAATAAAATGCACACATTTACCTTTTTCTAGACTAAACACAGGTAGATCCTCAGTTAAAAAAATATGAGGTTATCATGAGGTTGTTAACATCGCAGTTTATCAGTGGATGTTTGCTGGAAGCACAATAACTGCATGTTTTGCATTGCTTTTAAATTTCAGACTGTTGACTGGTGTTTGACTAAAGAAAGCGCACTTTTTTTTAATACACTCTCTGTGTAAATTAGACTTTTCGTGGCTGTCCAGGAGGCTTGGGCACTTTTTCCAGTTATTAACTCCGATATTAACAAAGCTATCATCTCCACATTTTGAGAAAGTTACAAGCCGTTTGACAGCAGCAAATCTGCATATTTCACAGAAGGCCCGTTTAGTGGTTTTGCAAAGAATTAACCACTCTCTGTTTTTGTACCATTCTGCGTTGAAGTACCTTTGTCTTTGCCCAAATAATCTAGCGGTCAGTTAGCTACAGCTTTACCCGTCTCAATGTCCCGACAACAAACCTCCATGCAGTCGGAACCAGCCTGTTTTCGGTTCAACGACGGCGGTGGCGGGTTCTTTTGGGTTCATCTGGCTTCGCTGTTTCTATGATTGATGAAGGTCCAGGCTCCGGAGACGTGGATGTCAGGGATGTGACCTTCCAGTTGTTAATTTAAGTTTAGATTGACTCAGTGGCGACTGGTCATTAGGGGCAGGTGGGGCACAGCCCCACCTAGTGTCAGCAGAAAGTATTACAAATAATGATTACAAAAATGCAAAAAAATAAATAAAAAAATATATAAAATATATTTTAAGATCATGTTTAATCATCTGATTCGTCTGTACATTGCTGTTTTAGTCTGTGTTCTTCTAATTAGTGTGTCTACAGTCACAGTGTGTGCCTATTGAGCTGTTTAGAGCCATGTGGGACAAAACCTGATTATGCCCCTTCCTCTCGCTGTGAAGTGAACGGTGACTGTAAAAACTACACTGCGCATGCTCAGAGTATTTTGTAATGTAATGTGTGTGGCAAAAAAATAATGACCAGAGGGGCACGGAGCTACCATCCCCACCATACGTCATCTCAAATCATTCAGCGCTGATTGGCTGTAAGTACGTGTGCCGCGAAAAGTGTGGTGCTTGAAGAGGAGACGAGAGAGCTGCAGTGGCGCGTCCTAAAACCAGGAAGTAAGCACAAAAAAGCAATGAGATTTCTCCAGAGGATTTTAGAAAATAGCTCGAAATAAGATCTGTGGGAAACGTACCTGTTAGATAAATGCACGTTTTGATTAGCCGGATAACATCCACATGTCTACCCTACTTTTATAATTTTTTTATCATAAATCTATGGATTAGATTTATGATAGACTTTTGAAACTACAAGAAGATAAGGAGGACTTTTACAAAAAAGTAATAGAAATGTTTGTCCAGAAGGATAGGCAAATGGACTTCATCTTCAAGTCAAGGTAAGACCGCCATTTTATTGAAAATGGGATCTTACTAAGAGAGAACAATTCAATATTTAAATGATAAAATTACATTTTTTGGGTATCCTTTTGTTGAACTGTCTGTTTAAAATTAATCGAAGCATCAGACAAAAAAAGCTTTTGAAAATAATATTATATTTTGGTTTAGGTCAAAATATAATATTTGTAAACCTGAAGAGTCAGTGCCAGTGCCTCAGCAGCCATGAACCTCACTGCAGAAGCTTATATATAGACATCTACGTTTTTTGTGCCCCACCACTTTTGTACATATAAAAACGCCACTGGATTGACTGTATAGTTTTCTTCTGCGCTGGTTCTTCTGACGTGTTTGCAAGTGTATATTTTTTCTATCTAGGTTAACGGCTGACACACACAGAACAACGTAACAAATAAAGTAAACAACGTAACGAATAAACAAATCTAAGCTTTTTTATTGGTTGTAATTTACATGGATACATTTGAATGTTGTGACAATGTCCTATTTGATTGGGTTAAAATGTACATATTCTTCCTGTTATGTCTGCCTGCTTTATTTTACCTAATGCAAAGTGACCTGCTCCATCGAAATCAGTCGCATTGACCCGAAGACACATTTTGAGTTGTATACACTGTTGGAAAGAGGAGATTCATAACTTTCTAATGATATCAGGATTGTTGTTGTAGGCTACTCCAAATATTAAGCAAAATATGTCACATTATATAATGACTGTTACAGAGTCATCATTTTGAGAAAAAGGCCTTTAAAGTTTCCTCTTCTCTGGATCGATCTGATTGATTATTAGCGGAGCAAATGATCAAAATAGTACGAAGGGAAGATAGGGGAAGCCCGCGAGTGTGTGTGTGTGTATACGTGTGTGTTTGTGTATTTTTGCGTTTGTGTGTATTGTGTTTGTTTCCCGGGGAAAACACTCACGAGAAACACCGGCTGTTATGCCTGCAGTGACGTAAAGTTACTCTGTTGCTTGTAATTATGCCGTTACAAGCTTCAAAGTTGTATTTATCATCTGAATTTGCCAAAACAAGTTTAATATTCTGAAAGCCAAGACTTTGTTTATTTGAAATCAGATAAAAACAAACTGTAACGGACCCTGACGTGTTATCTATGATTACTATACGCCTTACATTCATAATTTCAGCAGAGGGAGGGGAAGCGGCGCTGTGGAACAGCAGAGTGGCGAGTGAGAGCTTTACAAGCTTAAAAAATGCCTGTAGCTAATGAGATTGAATATAACAATCAAACATAACAAAATATACACAGCTATATCAGATCGCGTTTTAGATGCGACTTTAGAGTAGAGGGGAATTATTGAAACGGGATTTGTACAGTGTTCCACGGCATCCGCTGCTGCGAAAATGTGGGGCAGGGCTGAAAAGTGGGGGGGCCAATGGCCCCCTGGCCCCCCCGCTTCCGGCGCCCTTGGTCCTTGGCCAAGTGATATATATCTTTTGCTCTCTTTACAATAAATAGTTCAACTTAGAAGTTGTCTGTCTTTTCTGGAATTCTGAACCCAACACAGATTACAAATCGCCTGAAAATGGTACAAACAAGTGGCAACATGTGTGACGAAGGTGTTGCGCTGGGCTATATCATGCAATCGAAAGTGAAATTTAAGCTCGCTCGCAGAGATATTCCCGCGAGAGTGCGGAAAACTTAAAGTGGACCTATCATGCTATATTTAAATGATATATTGTAGAGCCATACCTATATAAGGTATATTTATACGTTTCTGTTTTCAAAATACCAAACAGATCATGCATTTTAGCCATGCCTCATTTCGCTCTATGTGCTGTTTGCTGTCTATGGGTCTGATTCTGTGAGACCACGCCCCCCTGCAGGAGAGGGTAGCCGTGCTCTGATCAAGTCAAGAGGGGGAGAAAAAAAGATCTCCGTCCTCCGTGTTTTATTTATATATACAGTCTATGGTTTTATTATATTATTATAGGCATATAGAGTCGTTATTCATTTGTTTTAAAGCTCAATAAATAACAAAGAAGACCTTTGACCGGCACTTTTCTAATTTTGTCCGGAAGATTTAAACTTTAACGGACATCTTGACCGGCGAAAGAAACTGAAACTGAAACTCTGCCGCACGGTCCCCTCGTTCCTTGGAAGAGGCGGAGAGGTGGGTGTTTGTCATCTGCTGGTGGACTAACCGGAGAGAATTACAGTGCTTGCCTCGACGGGGAGGGATTGCATTGAATTAAAGCAACGGGAGCAAACGCTTGCCTCGGGGAGGGAGAAAAAAAGCCACAGCGGAGAATAAACAGAAGGGTAACCATGGTTACCATATGCGCGGGAAGTCTTCTTCGCTGCTTTTGTGGCAGACTACAGCGCCACTTACAGGCCTGGCATATGTACTACAGCGTCTCCAGCGCTTTCGAGCAGCAATGGCCGGCCGTGGCCCAACCCCACATTCCCCTGATAGGTGGAGAGTTGGCCCAATAGCCGTAGCGCCACTTCTGTGACGTCATAGAAGTGTTCAAATCTGGATCAGTCTGTATCAGATCCGTTGCAGACCCTTTTTTAGAGATTTGGGTATGGAGGAAAATAGAGAGGGTTGTGTTTTCTGACACTTGGTGAGTTCCCTGGAACACCGGGGACACATATTCATATATAAAAGACGTACAAAAGTGCATGTTGCATGATAGGTCCCCTTTAAATTAATTAATTAATTTTAAATATGGAATATTTCCAAAATTCCCCAGCTTAACTTCCCATGGAAATTTACCGGAAACCTTCCGGAAATGTACCGGAAATGTTCCGCCCCTTTGCAACCCTAGTTGTGACAGATACTAACGAGCCTGTTGGGCCAACTAAATATAGGCCTACTTTGTGCTACACCTCTCTGTCGTGCTTGATTATTGCATTTTTCGGTTGATAACAGACTCGTGGGATCCATTTTTTAACAGATTTACATTTCAGACGTAAAATTTGCATTCAAAATTCGTGTTTTTTGTTGTTTTCATATTAGAAATCAGCCTAAAAACTGTCTGAAATGTAAATATTGTCATAAGAAACGTTCTGAATCACATCTGTGTTTTGTTACGAAGACATTTCAATTTGCAAACTGAAAACAGAATTTGGTAAACACATTTTTTTTTGTATTTCTTTATACTGCATAAA